GCCCAGCACACCAGCTACCCATTCACTCTGATAAAACACAGGGGAGAATGGCTCTTTGAAGCTCCACAAACCTTTGCTGGACTTCAAAGTCACCCTTCTCTCTCCTCCTTCCCTCCTGTTCTCAAATGCATCCTTTAGGATTAGTGAATGAAAAGAGATTCAAGCATTTCTGTTTCCCAATACTTCATAGCACTTGGTTTCCAGGCAGCTGCTCCACTTCCCACTGTCTAATCCCAGCAGGGAGAAAGGTGGGCAAAGGTTCCTGTGAAACTGGAAGGGCTGGGGAGGCTGGTGAGCTCAGAGCTGTTTAAAAGCCATCCCCAACCTTGGTGTCCCAAGGCATCTCCCATCCCCAGTCACTCCTTGCAGCAGCAGATGCTTCTGTGGCAGGTCCAGTGATCCCTGAGCCCTCACTGGTGGCACTGGGAAAAGGGAACCAGCAGAGCTGGGCAAGATGGTTTCTACCCTGGCAGCCTCAAAAAAAGCCAGCCACTAGATTTCCCTTAACTGGAGGTTTGTTCTTAGAACTGCTTTCAGTTAATGCTCTCAAGAGTCCTTTGCAACCAAAAAGAACCAGTGAAACCTTTACTGGAAAGGGAAAGTGAGTGGAGATCCTGTTTCAGGCCCTGCAAGTGGTGCAGCAGCAGGGAGCTCGGTGGGGAGAGGGTTTTGTTGTGTTCTCCAGCCCTGCTTTGCTTTCTTGGAATTCACCTTTTGTGGTGCTCAAGCAAATATTTGTGAGCCTTTGGAAAGGACAGTTTGGTGGTGTTACAGTTCCTGGTCAGCACTGCCACAGAACTGTCAGGAATGTTTGCTTTCTCAGCTAGGAAAAGCTTCTCACTTATCAATGAAGCCCATGTTCAAACAGCTGAGGGGCATCTCACCTCACCTATGGTACTTAGGCTGGGGGAATCCAGGTCCTACAGCCTTGTGCACTGTTATCATCACAGAATCATAGAATGGTTTGAGAAGGGACCTTCAAAACCACCCAGATCCAACCCCCTGCACGGGCAGGGACACCTCCCACCAGCCCAGGCTGCTCCAAGCCCCATCCAACCTGCCCTTCAACACTGCCAGGGATGGGGCTTCTTCTTTGAGCCTTCTGCATCATTAAATTGGAAAGAAAGAGGGAAATAAAACCCAATCAATTGAAGAAATGGTAGAATTTGTGGTTGTAAAGCTCAGTGGGGGGAGTAGGTTACTCCTCACACACTCATTGTACTAGCTGGGTGAGTGACAGGGAGGTGAAAACCCTCTACTGGTTGTAGTTCTGGTCAAGAGAAGGTATAAAGCACATGCTGTGCCCAAGACTGATTTCTTTCCAAGGTCAGGGGCTGAGACCATATCAAAATACAAATGCTGCCATAGCCTAGAGACACTTCTGGACAAAACACAGGGAAACCCCTCCAAAAACCCCAGGATGGCCATCTTTTCATCCCTCAGGTTCTGGCTTCTGTGCCCATGAAACCTTTGTCTCTCAAGACCTAGAGATAACCCAAATACACATAGTGATAATCTAGCAAGAGATCCCTCAGATTAGGAGGGATCTGTGTCAGGCCTCACCAGAAAAGGCTTTGAAGGCTCCAGTTCAAGGAAGACACACAGGACGTCCTACAGATTCTGCCTGATAAAGTTCATTTCATCTTGCATCTCTTCTGAGAAAGACAAAACATGAAGATGCCAAAACATCAGCCCCAAACTTGACTTGTTTTTCTGACCTCAATTTTGACAGAGCTTGGGGCTTGAATGAAGCAGAGAACATGAGATGAATGGAATTGCAGAACCTGATTTGAAACTGTGCTTTTTACCTCCAGCAATTTTCTGTGCTTGATCTGAACAAAGCTGCAGGTGTGAAGGTGGCTTGGGGTGTCAGGAGGAGGAAATAGGATTGTAAGAAGGTCACTCATGCACTGTAGGAAGCAATACATAGAGGTTTCCTTTTCTTTTCAGGAGGTGGAAGACAGGGTGTATCTCTACAATAAAAGGCAAATGGGAGCAA